ACGGGAAAAGAAACTATTCCCAGTGACCTTGAAGAAGACCCTTGAAGAAGGTGTTATTGGATGTCACTGACTCTAAGTGCCAATTTTTTTCACCTTTTCACTCCTCTGAAATCGGACACAGTGAGGGAGCGTTGCCATTGCCTAGTCGTGCGTAAACATGGTCAAAGCCGCTCAGCTGTCACCTCGGCTGAGTTATGTGCATTGTTGGTACCACAGGGCTTGAAATGTATCATCGTTAAAATGTCTTCAAAAAGATTACACTATGATTTAGACTGGAATGAAAAGTTACTGTACACACAGGAAGACACAGAAACAGAGCCTTGCAATATATGATTTAAAAATTATGCTTAATAAAAGACAGCTTTCATTAAATATAAAATTCAAAGTGCTAAGAAAGCATGGGCCATAGTTCAGTTGGCAATATTTTCCTCTTTATTTGGGGGTCATAAAATAATGGTTTATTTTATAATTAAAAGCTTCTTTGATTAGATGAAATATAGTACTTTTTCAATAGTTTGTTTTTATTGTATTTTTCCATGACCATTTATCCCCCCACACCCTCTGACACCTCCTCCTGCACCCCATCTTGAGAAATAATTAGAAGATCCTAAAACAGTTATCTTCACATTTTCCCCAGCACTCCAAATTTTCAATTTTTGGTAGAACCACATTCTACCTACATTTACATTTAATTAACTTTTAAACTTACCTCATTTTCAAAACTAATTATATCATTTTGAAAGAAGTATATTATTCTTCTAATATAGAATGAAAATTTTGATTTACTGGTTGGATGGCTTAACTATGAATTACAATAAACCCATAACCATTAAAATGGAAAAACATGCTTGACCATTTAGCACTTAAAATTCTTTTACCATAGAATGCTGACAAGTGCAGGATCCCTTAAGAAAATCCCCCATTTAAATAACGTGTCACCAGCTCAGATCCGTCACTTCTTCCCAGCCACTGAGCCATTTCCACCATTTCCAGACCCTTTATTTGCATTTGCTTTCAAGAAATTCACACAGAAAAATCCTGCCCAAACTGAACTCACACAGATCTGCCACCAGTTTAGTGTTTGACTCTTCAGAATCCATAATTTCTACGCTCATTTTTTTAGGAAGGAAGGGAAAGGTTGATGTCCTGCTTTGGCTGTGATGACTAACCCCCTGAGGTTACCAGAGATTTTGCCATGAATTCTTAGCAACATTTTGACACGGTAATTTTGGAACTTCGGGTGAGGGGTCTGATTTTAGCCTCGGGTAATCATTCTCAAGACTGGTCCTTGTCCTTCAATTTGAAAACCCAGTCATACATCTTCTTTGACTCAATAGAGCATCACTTTCACATATGGCCAGTATTCTTGTATCAACGAGAGAGGAAATTCTATTTATCAGCAAGTAACACTTTTCCCACTTTGCATTTCCTACTAATTATGTCTGAGTTTTCAAGGTTCTATCAAAAAGAGCAGCTTATAAACTTTAATTATTTTTGAAATTCATTGGCTCTAACAGAGTGAAGCTGGCAGGTGCCAGAGGGTTAGAGTTGCAGAAATTAATTAACACAGAATGAAATCTCTGATTAGTGGACACTTTTGCTATCTGTCTTTCTCATTTAACCAGTTCAGAGTCGGTCTTCATATGGGAGACAGGGAAAAGGTAAGAACTGAGTGTTCAAGACACAAGAAATCCCAGTCTTAGGGCTTGGCCAGGAGAAGAGCACATGGCTCATTTTTCATCATTTTCCAAATCTACCCCTATCCGTTCTGGATTTAGAAAACCCACAGATTAGTTGGTTCCCAAATCACTTCCAGCTGATGTGTATGTTGAGTCGAGTCCAGATAGAAGTTGACACTTAAAAGCTTGACAGGAATCCCTCTGCATGGCAACCTGTTAAAATGAGATTTCAATGGCCCATGGAAGTTCTCTGCTCTGTGACAATGTGGCACTTTTCTGGTATTCTTTAAACATCAAACCAGTTAGAAACCGTTGTTGTAGATTCCACTATTAAGTCCATGCCTGTTCCAATTTCTCTTTTTAAAAGTGACCTCCTGATATGGAAAAAGAGTACTCTCCAACCCTGCTAGAGGCAATATAAATTAGTATAACCCTTCCTTCCTTCCTTCTTTCCTTCCTTCCTTCCTTCCTTCCTTCCTCCCTCCCTCCCTCCCTCCCTTCCATCCTTCCTTCCTTCCTTCCTTCCTTCCTTCCTTCCTTCCTTCCTTCCTTCCTTCCTTCCTTCTTTATACAATCTTTCTTTAAAACAAGGTAGCTATAAGCATAAGATGTCATCAAATGCACATACAATCCAACCAAGATTTCTGTAAGTATTTTGTTCAAGGAACTAATAAGAAATGTGGGCAAATAATGATCAACAAGGAAGTTTATTGCAACATTGACTAGAGTAGTGAAATATTAGAAAAATCTAAACATCCCAAATACTTGACTATAGCAAAAGTGATGTCATAGAATATTTGACATAGGAAAACATTTACCTTATATTGTGAAGTTAAAGAACCATGTCACAGAACTATAGATTGCTATTCTAGTTTTTAATATTGTATACATTTATAGCAGTTAAGAGGAGTAGAATTAAAGCACATTTTTATTTTTATCTTTGTATGTTTCTGTATTTTTTAATTTTTCTCCATTGAATAGCCACCACTCTCATAATCAGAGAAGGAACATCAAAGGCTTTAAAAAAGAAAGAAAAGAAAGCATCTCCTTAAGGCATAAAATAATTGTTGAAATTCAGAGTTTATCAAAATCAAGCCCTTATTATTCTTCAAAGTTCAGGAAGAAGAAAACTATGATTCGTTGAGGGCTTGCAATGTGCTCGGCACTGTACTAGGAACGTTCGCATATATTATCCCACTTAATCATCACCGTAGCCCTGACAGGCCGATACTATGTTATCCTTCTCCTTGTAGGGGAGGATGCAAAGACTAAGAGAATCTAAGTAGCTTAACTTACCTCATTTCAAGTAACTATAAATGACAGAATCAAAATATCAGAATGCAGAGTCAGGTCTCATTCATTTGTTCATTCATTGATTTATTCACACATATGCACATACAAACATGTAATTATGAGGTTAGCTAACTAGTTCTGACATATGAAAATATAGAGAATAACATTTAAAGTATCCATACATTCATCTTCCAGCCTAAAAAATTAAATATGTCAGATACAGAGGATGATGCCTGTGTACTTAATTCCCAATTCCATTCTATTCTGTTCTATCCAGAGATAACCATTATCTTGAATCTGGAGTTTATGGTTTCCATGCAAGTTATTGTTTTTTTGCTACATGTGTTTATATTCATAAATTATACTCAATCAGTCATTATCCAATCAGGAAAATAGAAACCACTTTATGTATTTCACACAAAGGGAGATTTAATACTGAGAATTAATTACAAAGGTAAACGAAAGGGCTGGAGGAGCAAACAGGATAAGGGGCTATGTTCAATTTCATCCATTGACCCCTTCAGATCAAGTCTTTATGTTTCTTTGGGCTTAGAAAACTGAGTGGTACAGACTGCCCCAGGGGACTCCCTTGACCTCTGACTTCCACTTGGTTTTGACCAGTGAGAAGTGCTGGCAGGAGGTGGAGGGGGAAAGGAGAATGAGATCAGAGTATCTGCTCACCTGCTGTCTTCCCTCTTGAGTTGCTACAGGTTGGCACTGCTGCTGCTAAAATAGGCACTGATATCTTGTCACATATTATCTTTGTATACTATTTCCAGCCACTCCCTGCCATTGCTGCTGCTGCCATTGCTAGAAGCACCACCAGGAACAGAAAGGAAAATGGCCTCTTCCTTTCTTCTGTCTTCTAATCTGTCAGTTCAAAGACTGGCAAAACCAAAGGAGCCTGTGACATGTAGTTCACAAGTTTCCGGCCCCTTGTGATATGGAAGAGGGCACAGAAGGGCTGGAGGAGGGTTGAGAGCCAACAGCACGTAACCAGCTCAAGTGCATAGTATTGTTTGCATTTTAAAGACTCTACATCGATAAAGTCGTGCTATACCTATCTTTGCCTTTTAGTTTAACCTTATACTTTTGAGATCCATCCATGTTGATACACATGGTTCCAGTTTATTCATTTTAACTGCAATCATATTTTCAATAATGGTATTTCCACAAGGGAAACTAGTGAAGACAGAAACACAGATGTTACTGGCATTGGAACAAAAGAGGTATAAAGATAATACATGGCAAACTACCAACAGCAGGTAGAATTAAATTGCAGGAAAATATTTCTAAAAGCTGTTCATTCTTCCCCTCACCGCAGATTCACTGAGCTCCTACCATGTGTTTCTGGGCATTGTGCTTGACACAAAGGACAGAAAATCAAATAGGATCTGGTTTCTGCTCTCCAGTCTCTAGTTGCTGACACATAGGTAGACAGACAATTTTCATCAGGGTAATAAGTATTTGACAGAGTTATGACTAGGGTACTGTAGAAGCACAGAGCTTGACAAATAGAAAAAAACAACAACAAGGCACTTTTAGTTATATAGATTTAAAATGTCTAAACAAATAAAATACTGAATCATGAACAGAATCTAGCAATATGGTGACAAAAATAATAAAATTACCAAAAAAATGTTTATTTCAAAAATGGAAAATGCTTCAAAATTTTTATTTTTTATTTAAAAAGTTTTAAAGTAAAAATTCAGATTATTCATCTATTTATGACTCAGTACACAAGAGGCTAAGTGTTTCACTTCCTAGATTTCATTTCCAACTCCTTGGAATGTTTGTTTCTTTGGCTAAAAAGAGACCAGACAGGACAGCCGGGCGATATTTAGGCAACTGAAATAAGGTTGGGGCAGGAGCAATGTTAACATTATCCTCACAGGGATGGGCACAGGGGGCTATTAGCCACAAGCTGATTCTCTAGAACTGTTGTCTCGGAGCACAGGAGCACCGCTCCTGGACATTGGAGCTGGCTCGGGCCTCCTCATCCCCACCACACGGGTATAGTGGCGCTTTTTAGCAGTCGCCCTTGTTGTCTTGCTGGCCGTCATAGTACAGGGACTTGCTGTACTTTTTCATTAAGTCAGACCTGATTTTCAGCATGTCCACTTCTCTGCAGGAGACCAAGATTCTGCTCAAGACCTTATCATGTGTCCCCTTGCCCTTCATGGAGTCATACAGTAGGTTAGCAAAATACAAGGGCTTGTTCTGGATACAGTGGACCAAGTTCAGGAAAGCATTTGCCAGGTTTTCTTCGACTTCCTTCATGACACTCTCCACCTTGTACCTTTCACATACTTTCTGGAGGTGACACATGCTCTGCTTGATCATGATGCTGATCCACTTGGGAACATCAGTTCTTTTCCTCTTCAGTCCAGCATCATAGAGATCACGGGCATCTTGGTCAATCAGCTCATAATCAATGACAGAGCCAGTTTCCGCGCTTCTACCCTTTGTGAGGGCAACCATCAACTTGTGGAAGTCACCCGTTATGTCAGAAATAATGTCCTTCTCCAGATCAGTCTTGTACATTTCCTTTCAGACTTTATTAATTTCCTGCAGCTCCTGGTTGGCCCTTGAGCTGATGATCTCAGTGAGAGCACCCTCATCCGTCCCCAGCTCCTTCATGGGGGCCGTGGTGGGAGAGGGGTCACCGCACAGAGCCCACACTAGAGCAATGCTCTTGAGAGCTACAGAGAAGCCTGTACCCTGTGCTTTAATGACAGAATTTACAATGTCAATTCATGATACAGAGCAGGAGCAAGGAGAAATAAGTTCCCTGGGATGTCAAGATCGGTTCTTCTTTAACACCCAGGACTGTATAGAAACTCCACTAACCTCTTCCACGCTCTGGGGAAGTAATTTGGTGCAGCTCATGAGTTTCCATCTCTCCTTAATAACAAGGAAAAAACCATCATGCAAGTAAAGCAGGTATGAAGAGGGCAATATTGTTTTTACCACACTTGTCACTGGCCCTGGCAGCATCTTTCACCTTCAAAGGGCCCACGGGTAATCATTAATCTAAGCACTCATTCCCTAAACTCAGATACCCACAAAGTTGCTAGAATGACTCAGTTGTTAAAGGAAACCTGAGAAAGCAGTTTAAGGAGGTTCTTTTACCTGCAAAAAAAAAAACAACAACCAGAGTACCTTGAGTAATGGAAGTCTTAGTTAAAAATAAACAATGTAATAAAGGTGATGGAAATGTCAAATAAATGTGAGCATTAGTACATTTTGGGCCTTATTACAGTAGTCCCCTCCCCCTTATCCATGGTTTTGCTTTCTACGGTTTTATTACCTGCACTCAACAGCGATCAGAAAATATTAAATGGAAAATTCAACAAAAAACATTTCATAAGCTTTGAATTGTGCGCCACGGTCTGAATAGCATGGTGAAATTTTGCCTCATCCCACTTAGGACATGGATCCTTTGTCCAGTGTATCCACACTACATACGCTACCCACGCATTAGTCACTTAGCAGCTGTCTTGATTACCAGATTGACTGTTGTCTTATCGCAATGTCTGTGTTCCAGTAACCTTTAGTTTACTTAATAATGGTCCCAAACCACAAGAACAGTGATGCTGGCAATTCAGACATACGAAAGAGAAGCCCTAAAAAGCGTCCTTTACATGTAAAGGTGAGTATAACTCAATAAAATATTTTGAAAGACCACATTCATATAACTTTTATTACAGTATATTATTATAATTGTTCTATTTCATTATTAGTTATTGTTGTTAATCTTTTACTGTAGGTAAAACTTTGTCATAGGTATATATGTATAGGAAACACATAATATATGTAAGATTCAGTGCTATTTATGGCTTTGGGCATCCACTGGGGTCTTGGAACATACCCCCATGGATAAAGGGAAACTACTGTATTGAGTTTGTTTGCTGAGATCATACGAAGCTCTAGAGATTCTATTGGACAAAGATGCAATGATAAATTCAGTGGAGAAAGGACAGTCTTTTAACACATGGTGCTGAGACAACTGGAGGTTCATATGCAAAAGAAATAAGCTTCAATACACACTTCACGCCTTACACAAAAATTAACTCTAAATGGATCATAGCCCTAAATGTAAAACAAAACTATAAAATTTCTGGAAGAAAACATAGCAGAAAAATCTGTGTGACCTTGGGTTGGTGATAGGTTTTTAGATACAATATCCAAAAGCACAATACATTTAAGAAGAGATAAATTGGACTTTATAAAAATTAAAAATGTTTGTTCTGTGACTGATACTGTTAAAAGAACAAAAAGAGAATCCAAAACCTGGGTCTAAGCCACATATTTGGTACAGATTCTTTATATCCAGAACCCTTAAAACTCAATAATATGAAAATAAATAACCCAACTTAAAAATGAGCAAAATACCTGAATGGACAATTCACCAAGTAAGATATACAGATAGCAAATAAATATATGAAAACATGTTCAATAGCATTTGTTATTAGAGAAATTTAAATTAAAATACAATCAGGTACCACTTTATACATAACAGAATGGTTAAAATTTTTTTAAAAAAACAAAACTGACAGTGCCAAATGCTGGTGAGAATGCAGAGCAATAAGAATGCACATTCATTGTTGATAATGGGAAATGGCACAGCCACTTTGGAAGACAGTTCGGCAGTTTCCTATAAACAGAAACTTAACATACAATCCTGCAAAATTCACTCTTAGGTATTTACCCAAGTAAATTAAAAATTTATGTTCATATAAACATATATATAAATGTTTTATTTCAGCTTTATTGATTTTTGCACCTAGATGTTCTTCAATAGGTAAATGGAAAAACAAACTGTGGTACATTCATACAATGGAACACTATTAAGTAATAAAAAGGAATAAGCTACTGGACCACACAACAAACATGAATCTTAAATGCATTTTGCTGAGTGAAAGAAACTCAACCCAAAAGTCTACATATTGTGTAAGCCCATTGATATGACATTCTGGGAAAGGCAAAACTATAAAGATGGAGAACAGAATTGTGGTTGCCAGGGGTTAAGAAAGGGGGGGATTGGTTTATCACAAAGAGGATCCACAAAGGATCTTTTAGGACGATAGAAATAGTTTGCATAGTAGTAGGGTGGTGGATACATGTGTTTGTAATAACCCATAGAACTGTATATCACAAAGAGTGAAATATAACATGTGTAAATTAAAAGAAAATCAACCAGGATGTCAGGATGGAATGCAGGTGGGACTAATCTAACTATATTCCACAAGTGAAGATTACCATATATCTTCACTTTACTGAAGAAGGAACGGTGGGAAAAAGGAGCCAACCTAAGTAACTTCAGAAAATGGCTGTGATTGGAAACCATAAAGCTAAAGATAAAAAACTATATATGAATATGGTACTTTAAGAGACAAATTTGCTTCTTACAATTCTGGAAGTAGTTTATATGTTAACAATTCTTAAACTGCTTTATACATATGTATACTAAGATCGAGGGAATAAGTATATAAATGGTAGATAATGGGAACTAGATTTCTCACTGTCAGAGAAAGAAGGTAAAACTATGCAAAGGGAAAAGGCTAGAATGAATACTGTGGTACTTGATTACGGTAGGAGACAGTATGAACTCACATTTAGTTTAGTATATATACAGATAGGGAGATATAGAAATAATTATAGGTATGTGTGTATACATAGATCAGCATATATTAACATGTTTTGTAGCTCTGTCTGCTGAGAAGGACTAAAAGTGGTATACGCCAGTAGTAATGAGCACATCCAAAACCCAGATCTTGGTTTCTAAATACCATTCTCCAATTAAAGGAACAAGGGATCTTGGGAGAAAGGCTGACGCTATGACTGGTACAGGAAAAATACACAATAAGCCTGGAGCATTTTGTAGTGCCAAAAATATAGAAATGCTTGAATAACAAAAGAATGATTGCACAAGAATGTGAATGTACTTAATAACACTCAACTGTACACTTAGAAATGGTTAAGATGGTGAATTTTATGGTACATGTATTTTATCATACACAAGAAAAGATGATAACCTGTCAAAGAAATACAGAAGTCAACCTGAAAGTGGTCCCAATCAGCAAAGCTGGAACAATTTGAACAAAGAAATATACCATTTTGCATTCCCAACAGCAGTGAATATCATAGTATTGGGTTCAATTCAAAGTACAAAATAAACATACATGAACCCATGTTGGTATAAATAAGATGACAGTAAATAAATAAAAGAAAAGAGGCAAAAACTTTTACAGAAGAATTCCAAATTATTTCTATAGATACTCTTCCCCTCCAGGAGGTGGAGCTTGTGGGTGAGCTAGACTTAATGACTTGCTTCTAGGAGAAAAGGAAAATAGTAACTTTATTATTAAGTCAGGCAGCACCTTAAAGTGATCAAGGTAATATCACTAGTAATAAGTCATGTTATTAGCATGTACTTCTGATATAATGTAATGAAATGGTCAGTTCGCCTCTGTCTGGCCTTTCTTCCCCAAAGCATTTAAGACCACTCTATTTGTGAGAAAAACATTAGACACACCCAAATGCAGGTATATCCTACAAAATATCTGATGGTGCTATATGAATCAAGGTCATGAAAAACAGCAAAGTCTGAGGCGCTGTCACAAACCAGAGAAGACTAAGGAGATAGTACAACTAACTGCGATGTAGGATCCTAACTGTGAAAAAGGACTCTATTGGAGAAACTTGTGAAATTTGAGTCAAGTTCAGAGTTTGGTTAACACTCATGTACAAATGTTGGTTTCTTTGTTTCAACAAATATACCGTGACTAAGTGAGATGTTAATAATAGGAGAAACTGGGTAAAGTGTATAGGGGAACTCTTTGTACTATCTGCAACTTCTCTGTAAATCTAAAATTATCCCAAAATAAAAAGATTTTTAAAGAAACTAAATAAAAAGAAAAGATTGACAATAAAGGTGGTGAGAACATCAAAGCACAAGAACATCAGCAGAGATTGGGCCTGTGGCCATAATCCCACTCAGCTCTGCAGATTCTTATTGGTCACCTGATTGCCCACAAACAGTAGGGATTAATTAAGTATCCGTCTAGTGGGGCAGTTCTCAAATTTTTTGTATATCAGAATACTCTGGAAATTAATAAAAATTACTGGGACACAGGCTCACTGAAATAACCTATCACTTGGACTTCTGTATTTTCACAAAGTACCCTGATGATTCTGATACATATCCAAGCTTGAGAACCACTGTTCTATTGCTTTTCTATTAATATGACTGTTAATATTATCATTCATTCACTTTTTATTAAACAATTATTTACTGAGCAACTATTCTATGCCAGGCTATTGTCAGTACTAAGTTCACAGTAGTAGACATGCAGGCAAAGACCTCATGAAGCTTATATTCTAATATACAAATAAATATACACTGACTGAATCTATTCTTCAAAATTTCCCAGTTTCAAATCCCCAAAAAGAACATCTGATAGGCCTAGCTGGTCACCACCATCTCTTGTTTGTTCTTTGGAGAGTGAGAGCAGAGGTCTTCTTAACAGGTCACGTTGTAGGTTATTGGTTAGTGTAAGTATTATTTGTTGGTAGGTCAGGGGGTCCCCCCACTCCAGTCAGGTATGGCTGGGGTTTGATGGCACATAACATGGCCCCTCCTGAGGTTTGCTCCCTCAGGAAGGGCCCATAGATGGGGGAGGCCCCACTGGTTGACTATGCCGAGTACCTGTCATCCAAATGCAGCATGAGCTAAACTTTGCCAGGGAAGTCTGGAGACAAAAAGATTAGGCTGCAAGAGCCAATATGATACAAATGACCCTACATTTAATGCTCACTTATGGAAACTCAGTGTTAATGAAACTTAGACACACAAAACTGTGTCTTGGATGCATCCTTGAGAAAAATAGATTCTGGTTTAATGTTTCTTGGAGGTAGATATTAGTTTTTGCTGGGCTTTGCTTTTATGCTGCCTGTGGTGTCTCAAAATACCAACTTGCCTACAGCAGCTTCCTACTTGAATTGAAAATGACATGGACAATAGTCTCCCATGTCTTCCCCTCCATCATGTTATATTTATTTATATTAGCTTTGACAATGTCCTTGGGATTTTGTTTTCTGCCCTCTGAGCACTTTCCCTAAGTAAAAGAGGAAAACAACTGGCACAAGGAAACTGCAGCAATGGTTATCACAGTTTTTTGTTCCACATAGGGTGAGCCTTGTACCCTACCCTCTACCAATTGTCAAGAAAGGGATGGCATTGATTTTCATGAGGCACAAATAGGAGCAGCATAGGTAACTTACAAACTGATCCTGAAAAAGAAAAGGCTTTGAAGCTATTCATTACACACATTGAATTCAAATCAACAAACATTACTGTCATGTTCCGAAGACTCAACCAGGAACTGGGGAGCTACAAAAGAAAAACACCCTGAATGGTAGACCATAAATGGCAGAAGACAGGCCTATGCAGATGATGATGTTACCAGAAATGAAGGAACTAACTATTCCAGGTTCCAAGGACGGAGTGAGGAGAGAATCATTCTGAATTTAGTGATAAATAAGTAACATTTGAAATGAGCAATAAGGGATACTTAGAATGCTTCTAAGAAAAATGTTGGAAGAGCATTCCAGTTGTATGGATTCACATAAAAGAAGGAAAAAGGTAAGAAAGTAAATGGTCTGTATGGGGAAAAGCAGGTAGTCACATGTGTAGCTGAAACATGATGGATTTGCTCATAAACTACAAAAGGCCTACAGCCTGGCTGTAAACCATGGCTGGTGTCAGGCATCTGGGAAACAAAAAGTATGACCACTGGACATAGCAACAGCTTATTACAAAACCATAAAGAGGATAATAATTGTCCAGCAGAAGAAAACATTATCATCAAATCTAGTTCTTACATTTATTCCTTTGCATTAAATTAGCTTGTTGAATTAGCTTTCATGCACTCTGCAAAGTATTAGGAACACAGCTGACTTCATTGCAGTCCCTGTTCTTAAGGAGTCTAATCATTGGAGATTTCATTAGTATTATCTGTATATTTATTAGGCCTCCTAAAAACCTGTATTGGTTTATTCACAGCAAAGAAAAATAAGTAATTTTTTTATGTTTAAATTTTAAATACTCTTAATGTCACAGAAACAGTCCATGGCATTATAGAATACAGATCCAGGGAAAAAATAACAAAACACCTGTCACCACCCAGAGATCACCATTGTAACCCTTGGTTCATAGCCTCCTATATTTTCATATGCATACTTATGTATTAATATGTATTTTGTTTGCAAAAATGTTTTCATATTGTTAAGAGACATTCTGTCTTGTAATCTATTTTTTTCAGTCAATAATTTCCTCCTTCCCATACCAATAAATGCTTTTTTTCCTCTAATATTCAGTACATATTCAAATTTTCCCAATTAAGCCAAAAATGTTCTTAAATCTAATTTCTCCAAATCAGCCCCGGACTGAAGATCTCACATTGCATCTCCCAGTTATGTCCTTCATATACCTTTTAATCCAGTATAGTCCCTTGCTTATTATTCTAACTTGATGAAAAGAACAGGCTAGCTCTTTTGAAGAACAATCCACTTCGTTATTTGCCTGGTTGGTTCCCTGTGATGTTATTTTACTCGTTGCTCTCTTCTCTCTAATCTAACTGAGGAAGTGAGAGAAGCAAGTTAAACGTTTTGGGCTAGAATATGTACCACACTTTGCAATGGAGTAGGAACTGTGAACACACTTGGCTACCTGAAGGAAGCGGGATGGAAAACCCCGCAGTAGGGAGTGGAACGCCGAGGACATCCAGCAGAGCGATCTTGTTCTCACAAACAGGGAAACAAAAAAACCCAAAGCCAAAAAATAAAAAAAGGAAAGAAAGGACTTATTGGGTCCTCCATGACTTTTTGAGGCAGCCGTTTTATAAATGGAACGTTTCCCTTTATAAAGCTGGACTGAGCTAAGCGGACGCAGTATTCAGTCCTCGGAGAGCCACTGTCACCATCCTCTGTCCAACCTAGGACTCGACGGAGAGAGTAGGGAGGAAACAGGGTGTTTGCGTCCTCCCCTATTCTTTCCAGCAGCAGCCTTTTTCCTGCCTCTGGCCACCAGGGGAGCTACAGTCAAGCAACCTTTTCTTCGGGAGACAATCTTTCGCGATATGAATCTTGTCCTACTCAGGATCCCGTAACAAGGTGCTGAAGAGGGACGAACCATACACGTATCGGCTCTCTCGCGAGCAAGAGTTGGCTCCTCCCCTCTTTGCTCGTCCGGCCCTCCCACCCCACCTGCGTACGCTCAGACCCGTTCCTGTGACTCGCGGAAGGTGGCGCTGTCTGCGGCGTCGCAGGGGCCGTGGCTGCCGCGAAGACCATCTCCCGGCGGGCAGTGCGGCCCGGCTCTCCGGCGGCAGCAAGTGCCACGTCCCAAGTGCTAAGCGGAGGAGCGGAGCGGGCGGTTGGCGGGGGGCGGGGAACAGCGCGGAGCCCGACCCGGCCACACTGATCGCCCGCCGCCATGGGCTCTTCCCAGAGCGTCGAGATTCCAGGCGGGGGCACGGAAGGATACCACGTCCTGCGGGTAAGAGCTCCGACGGCGGCCCAGGAACAGCGGACTGGAGGCGGGGCCTGGCGTGGAGGAGGGGGAGGCCCCCACGGGCCCTTTCCCGAGGCATCCAGGCCCGACCCCTCGAAAGAACAGCGACCGTGGTCGCTGCTTTGGCTGAGGCCGGTTCGGAGGGGTATTTACATCCCGCTGTCTCGGAGCGCCCCGATCCCGGAGTCCCCCGCTTTGGGAGGAGGGGCTGGAGCCTGACACTGGCATTCGGCGACTTCTCCAGGGGACAAACTTGGCTCCTTTTCCAACCCACGGCCTTTTCTGTCCCCTCCCCCTTAATTCTTAGCTTCCAAAGTTAGGAAAGGCTTGGAGGCAAAATCTGCAAAGAGGTTATGGTGAAGGTGTCTTTTTGGTTTTCCAGGAAAAGGAAGCCTGGACCCCCGCGGACCAAGAGATGGGGGATATGACGGCAGGTGTTAATTTACCTCACCGCTGTCTTAATGTCTGGAAAGGCCAATTAGGCAAACAAAACGAAGTGGCCCAGGAGTAGGCTTGACAGACTTAAATTTATTTGAATTTAACAGTCGTTTTTCCTCTCGTGTTGCTCCTGACCTTTCCAGTCCTCTTCCATATTTCCTGGCTGAGGAAACTTCCGTTCTCTTCTTCCTAAGATTGCTCAGGGTGTGGTGGAAATTAAGGTTTAGAGCCACGTTGGTGAAAGGTAAAGGAGAGGAGCGTTTAAAAATACAATCTAAGTAAATAAAGGAAAGCAACCTCAGTCACCAGGATGCAAGAAAACGTAGTATCTCAAAAGGCGGAAGCTAAGCCGCTCCTTATGGACAGCCTGGGCTGAATTAAGCATGTGGTCCTTTAATCATCGAACTCGTCTTCAAAAGTAGCATTGATGGTTGTGTACTGTAACACCTGCGTGTGTAGCAACGGGATTGACTGTCCAAGAGTGGCCCCAATCTGCAGCGCCATTTCAGGATGTGTTAGAGTGCCACTAGATATTGGCTCCCCATAGGTAAGAGAATTCACTGAAAATGAGAAAATGCATTTGCTGGTGCTACAGTCATTTTCTGGCTTAGGTCCCATGTTTTAGGTGAGACACACTCTTAAGCTAAAATACCCCAGTATCTGTGCGATATAGCTGTGATCAGTCACCTTTCTGATCTTCAAGACTATCATCATATCAAGTTGTCTCTCCACTGTACTAAAAATCCCTCTTGAACCCCCACTCTTGATTAGAGGGGATTTTCCCAAAAAATAAAGAGAATCTGTAAAAAAAAAAAAACAACAACAACAAACAAAACCATGTTACCTTGCTTTTCCCTTCAGTTAAGCCAGCCCCCGAGTACCACACGGGTAGGGGGAATGAAAGAAGGGTCAAATTCCAGATGTGCAGTGCAAGTTAGTGGCAGTACTCTTCTCTCTATTATTTGGTTTGAGTTTGAGTTCAAGGCTCTAGGCTGTGTTATCTAGTATTACCAGCTGATTCTCACAGTGACTGATTGAATCCTTGGAGATTCATATTTTTATAATACATGCAATCAGTAAAATAATGGTGTTAGGTTTTAAAACATCTGTTGGAAAGGTGTACACATCAAAAGGATTCCAATTCAGTGACTTCTGTTAATGATTTCATTTGCCATAAAACAAGTTGAAGGGTATTTTGTTTAAATAGGTACACTCAATAGATCAGCGCTCACATATATTCTATCATTCAGATATGTTACTAATCGATAAACCTGATTTTTAGAAGCATTAGAGACGAGCTTTATTTTTAATCTGCATCTGGAGAATAAGTGTTGCAAAAGATGAAATAATTCTTATTTTGTTTGAGTTTTATTAGGGGAGTTTTGAAATAGTAATGATCATCTAGTTTAGGAGAATTTTTTAATTGTTCAGTTACAGCTGTCCTGCCATTTTCCCCATTGCGCTCCCCTGTCCCGTCCCACCCACACCCCCACAGTCAGCCCCCCTCCATTGTCTGTCCTCAGGAGTCCTCTATTTGTGTTCCTTGTTTTGCCCCTTCCCCTCCTTTCCCCCGTTATTCCCCTCCCTCTTCCCCCTCCCCTCTGGTCACTGTCAGTTTGTTCTTTATTTCCAAGTCTCTGGTTCTGTTTTGCTCATTGGTTTGTTCTGTTGATTAGATTCCACTTATGGGTGAGATTGTATGGTATTTGTCTTTGACCACCTGGTTTATTTCACGGAGCATAATGCTCTCCAGTTCCATCCATGCTGTCATGAAGGGTAGTAGCTTTCTTTCTTTCTTTCTGCTGCATAGTATTCCATTGTGTAAATGTACCACAGTTTTTTGATCCACTCATTTACTGGTGGGCACTTAGGCTGTTTCCAGCACTTGGCTATTGTAAGTAACGCTGCTATGAACCTAGGGGTGCATAAGTTCTTAAGGAGAACATTTTAAATGTTTCTGAGTGTGTGACCCACTCTGTCCCTGACTCTATAATTGGTTTTCTTTGTTTTTAAAGGAGAAAGTACTGTGTTAAATACCAACATATAAAAGTACCTTATTTTCATTTGTTATTACCTAAATGTATATTCCACTGTTGGATTACTGAGTCTGTAAACCAGAGTAAATATGACAGGATAACCTTGGAATAAAATCACCCATGTTTAACAAGTCCTACAATGATTAAATTAGAAGTTTTCATTAGTATTCAATTCCCTGGCCATTTTCTTGTTAGTAATAAAAACTTGCATGACTGGATTTGACATCCATATTCACTGCTGTTTTATAATGTATTATTTCAAAGTCCCTACAATTCGTACTGAACCTTACAGTTTTTCCATTTTTTTATATTGATTATTAGATTCTGTTTAAAAAAACTTTAGGGACAACCTTCAGATTTTCTGCTATGAGAAGTGTACTTTCCATTTTATGTTTTATGTATTTATGTATTCATGCACATTTTCACATTCTGATCCTATTTTATACAACTCCCCATCCTGGAAGTAACCACCATAGATAATTTCTTATGTATCCTTTCAAAAATGTGTAATACACCCTTCCCCACTTTTATTCTTTCTTTCTTTTCTTTTGTAACTGTTGGAATCATATGATACAGACACACACCTTGGTCTTCTCATTTGATAACGTTCTTGGCAGTCTTTCCATAGCAGCACAGAGATCTCTGTTTCTTGTTTCATTTAGCCCCATAGTAGTCTGTTATACCATAGTTTGGTTAAGCAGCACCTTCTGGTGTTGGACATTTAAGGATTCTATTCTTTTGCCATTATAATTACATATCTAGAACATTTTTTTCATATCTACAACATTTTGATTTCACTTAAAATGTACGTTTCCCCAAATTATTAAATTTTAATGTTATCTAATTACATAAATGTTGATCTTCATTTTAGTAAATTACTACATTGTTTTCTGATTGTGAGCACATGTTTAATAGTTATCATTTGGATTAGTTCCAAAGTATAACAACCTAAAAAGTATAACAAAGAATCCAAAAGTATAACAAGGAACTGTAATCCTGCCATCCAAAGCCATATTTCACAAAGATTTTGAATGATAGGATATATTCAAATACAGTACGGTCAAAAGTTACAAAATGTTGGCTTTACAACTAAATATCCAACAGCTGAGGAATTATTAAATAAATCAGGACCTATACACAGATTCAGTTACTGTGCATTCCATGAAAATTGTGTTTCAAGACATTCTGTGGGCACGGGTATGCCTCTCTGTGTATGTCTGTGTAAATTTGAACGGCCAGGAAAATAACATGGAAAGGTAACAACCCAGGATATTAAAAGGATTATTGGTTGATGGTGACATTTATATTTATTTTACTTTATCTTGGAAGAATTTTTTTTTTTTAAATCCTCACCTGGGGATATGTGGATACGTTCATTGATTTTGGGGTGGGAGGATGGTATATTTATAGGGAGAAACATCACTGTGAGAGAGAGACATCAGTCCGTTGCTGCTATGTGCTCAAACCAGAGATTGAACCTACAACCTAGGTACGCGCCCTGAACAGGAATAGAACTTATATGCTTTTGGTGTATAAGACAGTATTCCAAGACAGTCACCCAGCCAGGGCGCATTTATATTTCTTTTAAACTGTAATGTATTTTCTACAATTTCTGTAGAAATATTTGTATATTTACAAAATATTCAAAATGAAATATTTGTATATTTATAAAAAGTTATAAAAAGTAGACTCCTAATGGAAGATTTTAATATTTGTTCAGAAGCCTTCATTTAAAAATAACATATTTCAGATTCCCTTATGCAGTGGGTCCAATTCCATGTTCACCATGAGGACCTCTTCTATTCCTGTCCTCTGATTGTAACATTAGGCGGGAAAAATGTTAGCCAGGGCTTCTCAGTTGTGTTAGAAGTTATGGTGAGTTACTACAGTTGAAGTGTGTCGAATACAAAACTTTTGCCTAGATTTTCCATTAATCAAAAATTACATTTTTGGAGTTGTCTCATAGATACCTACTATAAGATCCCTGCATAAATTAAAATACTCAAGTTAATCCCATTCTCCACTTAATACTCTTTAAGATGAGGTATATCCAAAGACATTTTGGAACCAGTGTTCACAGCAGCATGGGGACATGGAAAATACCATGTTTGCTCTTTCTTATAATTTCCTCCAAGAGAGATTTCAAGGTGATGGATGTTTTGAAGCAAAGGGCGTTGTGATGAGATGTATCTCCAGTGTGAAAGCAGCCTTTCATCTCCTGAGCCATTTGCTGCAGGCTGGCCCGTATTAGGTACTTTTCCTAGAGGAGAAAGTGACTGAGTAGAATTATTTCTTTAGAAAAGAGGATACCTAGACCCTATCTACTATTCTTTGGATCTGCTCTTTTTAAATGATGCCTTAAAATCTACATGATATGCTACAGCATTTTAACTTAGTATTTATTTTGAAAAAGTGAATTCCCAATATTTGATAGTCATAATTTTTTATTCTACTAACAACACTGTTTCTCAAACTCATGCCCCCATTTGAAAAACATAAAATTTTCACTAT